TACTCACAGACCCACTGTATTCACATCAGACATCTGACCAATGGCAACAAGTTGCCCCTAGACACGACTGACTAGACCAGACCCCTGAGCGGTATCTTCACAATGCTCCAGCTGATGCGGTTCCCTTACTACTCATGAGGGCCCACTCCCCAGACGGTCATCAGGTATTAACGCCTTACGATGCCCATCCCGAGCGGATGACTGACTTTAGTCGAGGCCCTGCAACATGTAACGTGTGCAGACCAGGCCATGGCTGCTGGTATGGGCCTTCCCCGACAGCAGCCCCTGACCCTACCTCACCCACCCTTAATCATCCCTCCCAGCTAGACTGAGGGTGAGCTCCCACCTGCATTCTAATGTAGCCATTTCGAATAAACGTGCAGTGCGTTAGTTGCACAGGCAGCTGGTACATGCTGTCGGTGTAAGATTAACGTTTCAGTACGCCTTTCATAAATCCAGCCCCAACCAGACAGATCCCTACTGCCAAGCAGCCTGTCTGTGTGTCTGCGCAGCAATGTGGCATTACTGATAGCCTCTGGTTCTGTCTGAAGCACCAATGCACAAGCTGGCATGGCATAACATGGCAGGGATGGCACAGTGCAGATGGTGAGAACATGAGACTTGCATTAAGTGACCGAGTGCTGAGTGAGCAAGCAAGCAGCCCCGAGATGCAACGTGGATCAATCCATCAGCTGAGGGCCTGTCCCTCTGTGCAAACTGTCCTTGCAGGATCCTTTCCACACCACGTGCTGGTGTGCCCCGCAGTGTGGGTATGTGCTCCCTACACATCCTGCAAGTGGAACAGACAGGTGCCACGATCATCATGAGGCAAATGCCAGATGCCATTGTCTGCGTATGGAGGGACACATGTGGCTGGTGCCCGTGGATTGTGCCCTGAGATGCCGGTTGGTTCTCAGCAACATGGAGACTCCTCACAGCCAGCAGCGAGCTGAAACCACCAGGTACCCACTCTGACTTCTATGTCGAGAATTCTCGATGTCGAGTTTGTTTGGCAGATTTGGAAAAATAGGAAGCTGTATATATTACTTAGGTGAGTTGTGCCATTAATAAGGCATTTAATAAGCAACAATCCTTTTTTAAACTTTCTGCTTCCTCACAGGAAATGTGCCTTGCCACCTGACAGATATTTAAAAGATACAGTAAATTGCTTCTGAAATTGAGATAGGCCTTCCTGGATGACTTGCCCAATTCTGCCACCAATCTCACCATAGCCCATGCTGCTCAAGCCCCTATATATTCCTGCCCCAAGTCTTTGTCATGGAGATGAAAAAATACGATTAACAATCTAATAGAGCTCTTACTCAAACACACTTGGTCCTGACAGAAAAAAAATCTTTCATACAACCCATTCACAAATTAAAACTCTTCAAGAGGCCAATTCCTTGCAAAAAACAAACATCTATTTCACTAACACAACAAAGACCAATTTTCTTTTATTAACCTTTTTTAAACTGTCATTAAAAACATGAACACAGCCTCCAACATCAGTATTTCTGATTGAAACTTAACCAAGTACTCATAATGGGCTCAGTTATACTAACAATGGAGTCTATTAAAACTGAAGAAAAACTATGACCATCATGTCTAAGCTACACCAGATGTCTTGTGAATCACAGCAGTCCAGGAATTGGTGGGGTTTCTTTTCACTATGTGAGATCATAAGCAATGTTTTCCTCCGTTTTGAATGCATAAGAGCAATTCTTCCAATGGGAAAAGTGATTTTGTGCATCTCAACACATATACTACATTGATCAATGTAATGGTCAACTTACTTTTGCAGGACTGAAACCAATAATTTCTCACTTTTGTAAAATCTTATCTATCTTACATTAAAGCATCTAACTGCCACTATCCTGATATATCTCTCACTTAGCTTCCCTTACAACCTACTGCTCCTTTCATGCTGAAGGCCTATGAGCCTTCCAATTTTGAAAGCATGCCCCACATCCTTAACAGAGAATCTTCATTCTGCTTAAGGGAGTATATCCTGTCAAATTCCTAATGCATGACAGGTTTCCATGGGGAGTAGGTTTTGCATCCAAAAACAGTCACCACACAAAATCCAGCCCTTCATTTTTGTCTCATTAGCTTTTTTTTAAAAAAAGGTTTATATCTTTCTACATGTTATCATTATCATTTTTGTCTTTTCTTTCTTTCAGTAAACCTATTAAAGAAACAATTTTTTTCCCCCTAACCTCTGCCAATGCTGCTGCAAAAGTGAACCCATTTTCTGTCCCTCTCTTTTGGAAAATATTGAGCTTCTACTTGGTCCCTTTTCAAATATTTGGTGCTTACCATGTGACAAGGTGAGAGAGTGGGAAAACATGCGGCAGATGCAGCACAATGTGGCCAGTTGTGAAGTTAGATGCTTTGGTGTAAAAAATACAGAAAAGAGCCACATTATTTAAATGGTGGTAAATTGAAAAGTGTGGATATACAAAGGGACCTGGATCTTCTTGTACACCACTCAAAGTAGGTAGGCACAGCAAGTAATTAGGAAGGCAAATGGTATGTTGGTCTTCATTGTAAGACGATTTAAATTCAGAAGTAGGGATGTCTTACTGCAGTTATACAGGGCCTTGGTGAGAACGCACTTGATGTATTGTATCTGATTTTGATCTCTCTACCTAAGAGAGCATTTACTTGCCATAGAGTGCAGCAGATGTTCACTAGGCTGACACTGGGGATGGTTGGCTGTTCTATGTGGAGAGATTGGGTTGACTGGGCATGTATTCACTAGAGTTTAGAAGGTTGAAAGGGGATCTGATTGAAATGTATAACATTCTAATAGGGCTGGACAGACTAGATTGAGGGAGGACGATTTCCCCGATTGGGGAACACAAAAGCAGAGGACACAATCTTTGGTTATGGAGTACACTATTTAGGACTGAGATGAGAAAGGATTTCTTCACTAAAAAGGGTAGTGAAACCTGTGGAGTTCCCTATCACAGAAGGCCATAGAGACCAAGTCACTGAATATATAATCAAGAAAGAGATATATAAATTTTAGATATTAAAAGCATCAAGGAGGTATGGGGAGAAAGCGGGAGAATGTCACTGAGATAAAGGACCAACCCCAATACTACTGAATGACAGAGCAGGCTCAAAGGGCTGAATGGCCTACACCTGTTTCTAGTTTCTATGCTTTAGGATCTGTCTGGCCTGTTGGATGTTCATGTTAGAACCAAAGTTTCAAAGAAAAAACTAGTGAATTCTCTCTGATGTCCCTCAAAAATCCCTTGAAAATAGTTTCTGATCAGTTGCTGTTTCTGGGAGCTTGCTTTGCTGTTGTTGCTATGCTTTATACATAAAGAACAGTGACTACAATTCAAAAGTGATACGTTAGTTTCTAAGCACTTTGGGTGCCCTGATATTGTGATAAGCATGTTATAAATGCAAGTCTTTCTTTTTTCTCCGTTCTGTATGGCACAGGAGAATACCACCAAGAAGCAATGCACTCATATTTCACCTCTCAGGCCGTGGATCCTTGTGTTCCAGAGGCTATGCACATGTGGCTCATTTCTAATCACATCCTGACCACATTAGTGGTTATCATCTTGGCTCCATCACCATGATTAGAGTGCAAACAATATAACTTTTCCCAATGTTAGAATCAGTGCCAAGAGAAACAAATCACGGGTGCTTAGAATTGTCTGACATTGTCTTTGAAGCAGAGTTAGAAAAGCTGCAATACTGGCTCATGAACTTGCATATTCCTGTTATAAATGTAATCCATGTTTAAAATGTTAAAGCCAAACTAAACATCCATGTCATCTGAATCTATAAAAGCAAGTTTATGAATTAAGGATGCATAATATAATGGAACATCTGGAAGTATCCCAACAGTTTTAATCTTTATGCAGCATCTGAAATTAGTTTGAAGCTATTAACAGAAGTGTTCACTGTCTTCCCTCAGCTCTGCCTTCATCTTTTCCTGACTAACATGACTTCTATTGTGATGTATAATGACATTTTGCAATCTCAATCAGCAATTGATCATTTCCATCAAGTCTTCTACTTCATGAACTGTACTATTACAAATGATAAAGAGTTTTACTCTAAATATATTTCAGCAATGTTAGGCAAAATATTTGAAACTGATCATAAAACCTGTATTAAAAGAAAAACCAAATGAAACTTGAATTTGTTTAAATTGAACTTGAAGACCAGGATGTTTCATAGTTATATTTATTCTACCCTTGCATCAAACTCCATTAAGAGTCACAAGAATAGCTCTTCTCAGCCTGGACAGTCTACATAGTGTCAGCTGTGTAAACAAACCAAAATCACTACATAGTACAAAAGGCAGTTCTGGAAAATATTTGAAAGTACACAAAGTGAGCATTTTTTAATAACAGATCAGACATCAATTCTTATGTAAATAGAAAGTCCAGGTTCGAATTACTGCTCGACAAGTGGTTAGAGGTCTTTAGCCCAATCGCAGTTAGTATTTCCATTAATTTCGTACAAAGTACATTGAAAAGGTTGTATTACTGTGCCGTAATTTCAGTGCAGCATTCGAAACCAGTGGCAACGTAGTATAATGACTGGATTTAGTTCTCTACTTGAAGCAGCAGCAAGGAGATTAATCGGAATTCACTGACCGTTTATGCCAATTCATGCTGTAAAATAGCTAGCTGTCTGCAGTATTCTCCCTTCCACGGCTAACCCTGCACAAACCCTTGCTTAAAGCAACCTCTGCTTCCAGACTTCCAGCCAGTCTGCATTTGGGGTTTGCCCATCAGCTCCGCAGGAAATTATTCCCTAGACAACAGCTCTAAGTCAAAGGGTGCGCACAGGAATCAGAAACATGTAAAAAGGAAGATGCTTCAGCTAACAAGAGGCACTTAGGAGAAAACACACAGATTTAAATCAATTCCTCTCCACAGTGCATGGAAATTCAGGGTAGGTTAGTTGAAAGTACATTTACAAATGAAAAAGACTGTGTAAGTCTGTGCTAACAGTTGCGCTTACTTTACCTCAAAGGGAAGGCCTTTTGGTATGCTTGTTGTAGTAGATAATAAAGATCACCTGGATTGGCTGGCTGGAGTCACAGCCTAAAATATCCAACGGCTGTAGTGAATGAAGCCCTCAATTCAACCGGTAAAATAGTTAAAGACAGGCACTAGCTCTGCCCTCTTGAAAAGAATTTCCCTACGTTTATCAGTGCGTGTGCAAACAGAACACACAGCTGCCAAATGCAGCCCTTCCCCAGGCTCTGCCAATATTCTCCTTCCTGTCTCGCTCAATCTTTCCATTCACTGCAGCACAAAAAAAGGGAATTTAAAAAAAAACGCACAGCAACTGAAGTGTAAGAAGCAGGATTGCAATTTTTGTTTAAATAGGCTTAGCATTTTCAATGGCCTGTCCTGGCCCAATTTGCATTGTAAAATAACAGAACATTGTGCGTTTTATACAGAATTTTGATCTGCGGTATTGAGGTCAATATATTGAAATATATCTTCGTCACCTTCAGGAGTTGTGATACTGAAATCTCTCAGTTATGCTAGAACGACCCCCAACACTGGGGTCTGTTGGGGTCACATGAGCAACAAATTAACACAAGACAAGCATCACGTTGTGAACAACTCTAATCTGCCTCATACACTCAGAAACTTTGATATGCACACACCCTTAGAGTATCCAGACTTCTTGTAAAGGGACCTGTCTACCAATTAATTTTGTTTCAAATGCTCTTCCCTTAGAGTCCATGTTGCTGTCCCAGTATCTCAGTGGCGGGCCTGACAAATGTGCAGACCAGGACAGACTTCAATAGTCCTAAATAAGGAATTGCCCCAATGTATGGTGTATTTGCTACTGCCTCTGCTCCCTGAGTCATTATTGCCTCTTTAGTAATAAATGCTTGCCCCTTAGGTGGTAAAGAGGAATCTTCAAGAAACAATGAGGACCCAAAGACACTGAGATTTCCTACAAGGTCGATCTCATCTTGGTGGGAGAGTCAAGGAATCATCCAGGAATGTGTGTGCCAAGGCTCTGCGTGTCTATTTTGAGTTCCCCAATGCAGTAATCTGCATCTTTATTTTCTTTGATGCTGCCGAGTGAGTAATACATTCAGTAATATTTGAGATAGCTGTGTGGCCTCAACAATGTGGGGATAGAGAGTGGGGCAGGATCACAGGCACTTAGGAGATACAACAGGAAGAGTACTGAATGGCTGGAAAGTCGGGCATCAATTAACAGCAGAACATGAAATCTGCGGCTGGGTGAGGGATTAGGGTCCAGACAGCAAGCCTGGAGGAGATTGATTGAAGGGCGAGGGGAACCATTGCATGGGTGCTGGAAGAAATAGGGGTGGGGTGAAGCAGAATGTGAGTATCAGCAATCAGGACAGACCATCAATGTGGAGTCAGGAGGAATATTCTTGCTTCTCCTGGTTTCACATTTCAGGTAATTTATTTACTTTCTCTGTTTCAGCAATTATAAAGGCTGCTTTCCCAGATTTCACATGAGAAATTACTGGTTAAACTGCATATGGATGAGAAAAATCTCAGGCATTAGTTTGAACAAGAGTAAGAAAGTTCTTTTAGCATTCAATCTACATGGTGGAACAAATTATCTGGTCCTTAACACATTGTTGCTTATAGGAGCTTGCTGAGTGCAAATTGGCTGTCATCTTTTCTCCATTACAACAGTGAGTACATTCAAAAAATACTTCCCTGTTTGTACTGTGCTTTGCAATGTCTTCAAGTTTTGAATGGTGCTTTGTAAAACAAGTCTGTTTCCTCTTTTTTGAAGTTCAATGGCCTCTTTTGACACAGGGTGACGAATATAGCACTGGTTGTATTGCAGTTGGGCAAGGGGAAAGTTCTGAAGGAAGGAGGGAAAGGCAAGAGAACTTGCTGTGAAGGGAGTAGGAGTGGGGCACCTGACCTGGGAGGTCAGTTCCTGGGCATCTAAACCTGACGATCTGGTAGTGGCACCACACAATGTTTAATGATCTCCCACAGGTGGTAAAGGTCAGTCAACAGACTTCCTACATGAAAGCTTTTACTTATCACACCATCAATCTAACATTGTTCAATGCACCAGGCCCCATCACTCACCCAACAGCCCTCCCTGACACTTGGAACCCATGCATATCATCCAACTGCTCTTCCATCTCAATAAAAACCAAAAGAACTTCGGATGCCGTAAATCAGGAACAAAAACAAAGTTGCTGGAAAAGCTCAGCAGGTCTGGCAGCATCTGTGGAGGAGAAAACAGAGTTAACGTTTCGGGTCTGGTGACCCTTCCTCAGAAGTTTCCCCTTCTATTTTCAGTGAGGGGTCTTTATTTGAGCTTTTTTAACATTTTCACCGGAACTTGAAGGCTTTCAGAAATGATGATAGTATCCCAATTCCAACATTGCTGTGTTAAACTTATTGTTATAATCTTAGGAAGTGGAAAAGCGACAATGATTTTAGGCTTTCATTACTTAACCATCAAAAACTAAAACACCTTAATTTTTACATGATTACCACATTTCTGGGTTCTGGGCTGGATTTCCCAAGCAGTTCTCGTGATCTCCTGCCATTTTTAATTTCTGTAGCTTTTGACTTGGACTTCGTCTCATTTCTAATGGATGTTCCACAAATTTGTTTTAATCATGGCAATTATTTTTCTATTGTTTATGATGCTAAAGTTTCAAAATGATTAAATATTTTGGAGCGTATTTACTTTTTGAATAAAGCTGTAACTGGACTCTTGAACTCCACAGAAATAAATATTATTTGGGCCTGGAGTTTCCTCTGAATTACCATCTTTTTTGAGGGCCGGTTTTAGGGCAACAGGCAGAGTACAGTGTGTACTTTAACATGATCACCCCAAATCTACGACAAAGAAATCTCCCTTACTGTTCCTTCTAGAAAATCTGCCAGTTCCCTTTAGACTTGACAAATGCTCAAGGTATTGCATTAAAGTAGCACTAAGGATGTAAACTAAATTGAGTAGACATGATTAATCTCTGCACCCCATTCTGCTCCATCTTTACCCCAAACGCCCTCAATGACACCACCTTTATAACAGGTTGTAGCAAAGTAATCCTGAGTTGGATACCACAGTGTCGAGGCCACTTTGTGAGCTGCTCTTAGAGTTTGGTATTTCTTTACTAATTTTAGTACTTTGTTGGTCTATAAGACCGTAAGATGTAAGAGCAGAAGTAGGCTATTCAGCTCGTCAGGTCTGCTCCACCATTCAATGAGAACATGGCTAATCAGGTAATCTTCAACTCTACTTTCCTGCCTTTTCCTGTTTATCTCACCCTTCAATTTACTTACAGACCGAGCCTTGGTAGGCTCTCCGGTAAAGGATTCTACACATTCACTATCCTCTGAGAGAAGAAATTCCTCCTCATCTATGTCTTAAATGTGTGACCCTTTATTCTGAGATTATACCCTCTGGTTATAGACAGAGGACCACAAAGAGAAACAACCTCCCTGCAACCACCCTGTCAAGCCACATTAAAATCTTGTCTCTTTCAATAAAGTCACCTCTCATTCTTCTAAACTCCAATGAGTACTGGTCCAATCTACTCAACCTCCCTTCATAAGACAGTCCCTGCATATGTGGTATCAGCCTAGCAGCATCCATTGTCAGTATATCTTTCCTCAGATAGGGGATAGCTGTAGCCTGACCAATGCCTTGTGCAGTTTTAGCTCCACCCTGCTTTGAGCTCCGTTCAAATTATTGTTTGTTTTTCACCAATATAAATACGGAAAAGACCAAGCTGGGTAGTTTTATTAGGAAAGCAAATGATGATCACAGTGGCCTATTCCCCTCGGGGAGTTGGGTTCCTTGGCCTGGTACCCTGTCAATCTAGATGCTCAGGGTCCAAAGTAGCCAATCAGGAGCCTAGATCATCCCAGTTGGCTGGCTGTGTGGTCAATGATGGCTGTTGTTCCAAATCATTCCCCAGTGAGAGACGTCAGGTTCCACAGACCTTCCTTTCTTTCTTGTGCTGGGATTCGGGACTGTTCTGTTAGACATTGCTGGAGGTCACAGGGTTGCAAGGTGAGGTAAACAAAACAGACTAGTGCCTCACCTCAAGCCTAGAATAGACTTGGTGGGCCAAAGGGCTTGTTCCTGTGCTGTCCTGTTCTGTGTGCTAGAAATCCCTTCCTGACCTCAACATTGCGTGCCTAACCCAACCCTGGCCAGTTCCAACCCAACATCCTGACCTCCTCCATTCCCCCCTCTCCTTCAATGCTGTCCCATGATGAGTTCTTCACCTTTTCCATCTCCCAACAGCCACCCACCTCTAGATCCTACTTCTCAACTTGACACCTCCTTCCCATCCTGACACCCTCCCTTTTTATGGTGTCTCATTGCTAACGCTTCCTTCCCCGTCCCACCCCAGGCCTCACTTCTCAAACTGTCCTCTCAGTTGTCAGTTTGACACTTTCAGATGCCACTTCTCCCTTCCTGTCCTTTTGATGGTATCTCACACAGGTAATTAATGGCAACTTCTCCTCCACTCCAAACCAGCCCAAGCCTTGCACCCCAATCCAATATTTTCCCCTTCAATGGCATGGTGAGTGAGAGTGAGAGGGAGTGTGCGAGTGAGTGAGATACAGTAAATGAAACAGAGTGAGAGATAGAGAGAATGAGAGACAGAGAGTGAATGAGTGAGTGAGCAAGTGTTCAGATTGAAATGCAATCTTGTATAAACATCCCTCCTTGACTAATGATACCATGCGAGCTCTACCATGGGACACACACCTTTTAGGTAGACATCATATACGTCAATAAAGACCACATGTTGAGGACAGCGCTTCATTGTACAGAGCATGAGCCTCGGCTTCTGGATTCCTAGTGACGTTACCACAATGCCAACATCATTTTGACTTGCCAAAGATTCCCAGAAACAGTTAGAAGTTCTCCCAGTAGGATCCTTGCATTTCTCCAGTGGTCCCACCAGAGTTCAGGTCAATGACCAGTGGGAAACCAAACAAGGACAATACATCAGATGCATGCTGGAGGAAAAGAACAATTATCACATTTCTCCAAAAATGTTCATCTTAGCTAAGGCTGCTGGCATAATAACTG